ATGCTATAATTTTTTCCACTAATTTTCGACCTTGATTTTATAGAAAAATATTAAAAATACAGAAATTTAAGGTTATATCTTCACAAAACTTAGCAACTCTATTTTTGTGTGCCATGATGTTTTTTTTTCCCTTTAGAAAACGCGTAAGACTTGTTATTTTTTCTATATCTCGTATACATATATCGTATATCGTATATCTCTTGCTTCCTTCTAAGGATATGGCATATTTTTAATATTTAAAGGTTATGTGCACGCATGGCCATAAAAAATCATTTCTGCATTATTATTATTCTGTACTTAACATAATATAACTTTTCCTATGATTTTTCCTTTTCATTTCATAAAGGTACATCAAAAACATCAAAAATTGAGGTTATGTTTTTTCATAACTCAACGCTTTTATTTTTGTGAGTCGCGAAACCTTTTATAGAACCCGTAAAACTCGTTATTTTTGCTTTATCTTGTTTTGTTTTAAAGATATGACGTATTTTGTAATACTTGGAGATTATTCTATATTATAGATACCCGTTTTATCAATACTGGCTATATGCATCAATCTGCCATACTTGCAAAAATTATTTGTTAATGTACTTTATTAAAATAATATTAACTAGTGCATGTAGTATTAATATAACTACTACATTCTATACACATATGCGCCGGCAAATATGTACACACTTGCTCAGTAAAAGTCGAAAGTACACACACACACACTCATACATGCACACTTTCGTGGTTGCCTCCATAATTCTGTGAACAAGTTACACTCACATACAAACGTGCATGTATACATTGTATACGAGGACACTGCACACAGTAACATCTTACGACACGGTAATAGGAATATGCATAACGCTACACTGTGCATGCGCGTACACGCTTGCTCTCTCTATTCATTTTATTAATTTTAATATTCAAATTTGCCACCAATTTCCTACTGGTTATGTGATTGTAATGCCTGAGTTTGGATTGGTGTGAGAGTCGTGTGTATACATGACGAATAAAAAAGTGCTTCTACTTATTTAAATAACATCCGTTTGCAAAAATTCTTTGTGCATTTGATCCGTAACTAAATTCTCTTTAATTTGGATTTTTTGAAATTTATTTTTATTATTATTTTTTATTTTATTTTAGCCAGCGATAATGGGAGTGTACGCTTTTTCTGATACACTTTCTGGCAGATAGGTTTTTGCACTAACTGGCTCTCTCTGTATGTGTCACCACTACTGCTCTGTCTCCCCCCCCCCTAAAAGTGAACACTTTCTGGCTGATGGGTCCCCGTTCTTAACTGTCCTAATACGCAGGAAATACACAGGGAGTAAATATCACATCGTAACCCGTGATAAAGAACTTCGTTTTAAAAATTATTCAAGTACAACAATGTCCTTGATTGTAACATTTATTACGTTTATTGCAAATTATTTAAACATTTAGCCATTTTATATTTATTTTTCATCGTTATTTTTACGGTTATTATAATTACTTTCTTCTTATTAGTGCCCTTGTTCTCTGCAGAGTTTAGAAATATTTATTAAGTAATTGTTTTTTGTCATATAAGCCAAAACAAAAAAGACATTCCGATTTTATGGCTGAGCTAAAGATTATCAAATTTAAAGAAGTTTTAGTCACTTTTTTCATGGATCATTGGAGCACTTAAACAATAGCACTACTTTGGCAGAACAGACGGTCCCATTTAATTAATGCCTGCTTTACACAGTTTCTGAAGTATGTGTTCATATTGTCAGATTATGCCTGATACTACAAGTATCAAAAACATGAAGAAGCGGACACAAAAATAGCATTTTTCTTGGCAGCAATACAAAGTTCGGAGGAAGTTGTCGTCTAGTGCTTCGACGACGATGTTATGTTTATAATTTTAAGAAATATGAAAAAATTTGCAGAAGGATGAATAACCTGGCTTTACTAAAGTGTAGCGAATCATTACCGTTTCATTGACATAAACAAATGTTGTCAGTTACAAGGGCCATCGGATGCCAAGGACTTCCTGCCTTTTATGCTTTTACAGAAAATGACTTTGATCCGTCATTTTTTAAAACTAAAACGACATGAAAAATTTTTTTTTTTAAATCACAATTTTCGGAAAGCTTTTATTGATATTTGAGATCCGGAAAACAAGAATTATATAACAAGTCAGTATTTTAACTATTAGAGTAGTTTGTTTGTTGAATGTCTGCCATGAAACAAAATGGGATGTACCACTTGAAGAGCGTTAATAAAGCTTGAGAGAATTAATTTATAATTCATTATGGCACAGTTGAACAAACAGATCAGTTTTTTTAACAATTATTTAATTTTGACGCATGTTCATTGCCACCATGCCAAAGAAAGCATGAACAACACATTCTCAGAACATTATTTATAAGTTAAGAAATAAGATGACAACAAACTGGAACACTAAGTTACATTATTATTTATCATTTATAAGTCATTTATAGAGTAATGCGAGCTTCTCAATCCCAAGCGGATAAGACGTTATACGATACGGTTGGCCGCTCATTTTACGCACTTTCAGTGATTTTCAGTGATTTGAGAAGGAATAATTTTCAAAATGAATTGAAAACATAATGATTTATGACGAATGAATAATCTGCTGTCATATTTTATAATTATTTGTAATTATTGTAATTTCGAAAAATCAACAATATATTGTTTTGTATCGCATGCATATAATAGTGCTTATAACAATATATATTTTAATTTTATTTTGTGCATACAAATGTCCTATTTGTTATAAATGCCGTGTAAATAACAATGTGCGTAAAATGTGCTGATAATATTGTAATCATAACATTTTATAGATTCCAGTGGTCAAGGTAACGGTGTATTCAGTGATGTAGGTGAATCAGACGGCAACGACAATGACGACGATGACAACCGTGATCATAATAATCAAGACCATGACAATAACATTAAAAAAAGTGATAAGTACAATAATAATAATAATGACAGTGACAGCAATAATTATTAAATTTTATATTACAACAACAGTCATTTCCTTCACACGTTTTAAGTATGTGTCTCCTTTTTGAATGTTTTTCATGATTTTCATAAATAAAGCTTTTTTTAGCGCCCATGCCACTTTTAATACTAATGTGTTACAAATTTTTTACCAATAAACAAAATGGCATGTGTGAGAAACTCGGCATTATTTCCGCAAACGTTAATACAACTTATTTATTACGTTCAAGTATAGAAATCTAGTAATTGAACCTTTAATGATAATTGATTGTTAAAATTATTTATGTTGTAAAAAATTTTTATTTTATTAACTAAGGAAATCGACAGATTGTCACCTAGATTTTTTGACACTTCGGTCTATCGATATTAACTCTTCAAACCCTCGCCGAGCTTATGCCTTTTTTATACTGAAATACACCAGAACGAGTGTCAATCATGTTTGTCTATCACTAAGACACTTACAGTTAGTGTACCGTACTAATAAGATTAATTGATAGTAAAAAAAGTAACGAATTAAAATTTTCTTTTTTTCATCAATTCTTTATTTTCCAACTTTTCTAAAGAAATAATGAGTCTGTTGAGTACAGATTTAGCTTGTAGCAAAGTCGTACTTGTACTATTATATTCTTGTGTACATGTAAGGTGACGAACACAAACATGCACAATGTGCACGAATTAACAAGTGATGATTTTGTCAAACTCAAATAGAATTTTTTCGTTAAATAAAAAAACTATACTTGATTACTAAGCCTTTAATAAGTAGCAATGAGGATTATTTTTACTAGCTCAGACTCGAGTAAGGAATTTTACGAATTTCTCTACAAGTCAGTATATTTTAAAAAAGTGCTCTATACCATTCCCGCTAATTTTAGACCTCGTATGCTTATTGACTGCAAAAACTTTTAATTTAATTCTGATCTTATCTAGATATAATGGAAAAGCTGTAAACAAGACGTACTCTCTCTCTCTCTCATTTTTCGGACTCTAAAGGAAAATGAAAAGTTGACAACTTTTTTTAGTAATTTAAAAAACAGAAAACATGTGTTATGAACTGTAAAAAATTGAAAATCCATGTGTAGTGATAAATTTAAAAAAAGGTTTTTTAGAGTTATTTTTACTTATTTACTGCTAAATTTTTGCAGAAATTGAAGAAGCAGTTCTTTAGTAAAAATATTCACATAACCAAAAATTTTATAAAGCAACTGAAAAAATATGCATAAGAGCTGAAAGTTTTCATCTTACTTATAGTACCGATTCAAAAAGTGTCATAATGACTGCAGATACGTAGTTCAATTTAATTTTATTTTTAAATTTTAAATGGAATGGAACATTTTTTTTCGATTTTTTTATATTCAAAAACTGTTCGTCATTTATTCTTATCCGATTTAAAAAGTTTAATAACAACATAAAGTTAAGTCTTATAAAATTTAAAGTCAGCTGTACATTATTTATAAACCCGACTTAATACTAAAACAAGCAAAATAATAAGTGTGTGATATAATAGCTGAAAGTGTATGAATACTAAGCTATTCTGTAACATTGCTTCAAGAAGTAACATAACTATACCCTAGTGTTATGAGAAATCCAGTACGAGACATGCTTTTTCTAATTATTTTCATTGTACAAAAATTCTCAAATTTTCATCAGAGTAAAAGTCTTGTGTGATAAAATAACATTTTTTAGAACACCCAAATCTTAAAAATAAATGTAAATATTTAAATAATTAACACTAAAACTCTTTTCGTTCTACACAAGACCTTCCTAGTCTATTTAATTTTTATTTAAACAACCCTCTCAAATAAGAAACTTTTAAACTAGTAACTAACTTTGAATTCTATAGGATACTTAATACAAAAGATAAAATGTGTCTAAACGTGCTAAAAAAATATGGCAAACGCACTGTACTCTATGCTGTAATATATGAAATTTGTATGAATGAGATTGTTTTCAAAATAGAGTGTTGTATAACGATAGAATTAAAAAAAAACTAGATCAAGAGATTTTTCATTTTGGTAGCTTACCACTTCCATTTTTTCATGTGAATCACGAGCCCGTCGTTCTGATTCACGTCGTCTAGCTCTTGCTGCAATACTAAGGACAGCCGTAGTTACTTTTTCGCGTTCTTCACGTTTTTTCTCTTCAAGGGGTGCTGGATAAGCATATGTACTAGGTTTAGCACTGGATTTTAATTCAAGCTTCGGCATTTTAAGATGTGTATTAAGAGCAATTATACAGGTAGGCGTAAATGCTAAAGCCAAGCAGTGAGCCAATGGATACCAATACCAATACTGGGTAAATACCAAAGATCCTACAACAGCCAGCATATTTGTATGGCCAGTGCGCGACTGTAACGAAATTGTAACATTTCTTCCACCTGCAGAATGAAATATTAAAATTTTTTTTAGACTTCATATAAAACGCTGTACAAATTTTCCTGAAAAGAACTATCACTGGTATTTCAAAGATTTTTTAATTTTTTAAGAAAAATCTCGACTGTTTCAATGTCAAAGAGATCTTTACATTAAAAATTATTGAATTATTTTGGAATAATTGAGTAATTTTCTACTATATTATTTGTGCAAAATACTTATTAATAATAAAATTTCTTGTAACAAACATTTGTGTATTATTCAGCCTTTAGAGTCATGTTTTCTCTTGTATAATAAACGACTTGATAAGGCAACCCTTATAAGTTATACTATTATATAACTATAGCGCCTACCTATAACAAATTACTTTTTATATAACACAGTTTTGATAACTAGTAATCTATCTTACCAAGAAATCATTATCTGTTTCAATACACAGAATTTGTAAGTTTTTATTACTTCACAACACAGTCTAATGCATTGCATTAACGTGGCTTCGTTAAATTGATATTGTAATTATTTAGTTAGTTATACCTTTACGTAACGTGCATTGGTCTTAGATTCTTGTATTCAGATTTATTCCTATGTTATGCAACCCCATTTACATTTACATTATTAAAAACCTGCTTAGCTTTGGATATTCTTAAATCCTTCTAGTTCTTTACTTAAGCTACTGTAACGAAATATCAGATAACTTCCTGATTTGTACCCAATAGTTCGAAATTTTTACTCCCTGAACCCAGCTCTCACCAACTTTTTCGTGTATCTCTAAACATGTATAAGTGATCATTTCAATTTTATTAGGATAAAGACTTCGTTTATGGGATTACTGAGTATGAGAACAAATTGTTATTTGACGCAAACTCTTTATAGTTTTATTAGTAGATCTTTTGAACTGGTTGTTGTGCCCTTAACATGCCTTTCTGAAAGATTCTTTTCATTTAATCTTGCTTTTACACTACTCTCAGTGCAGTTTTTTTTCTATGAAATATAATTTTTCCATACACTTATAATTGCCATTAGTTATTAAAAACAGATGACTAATATTTGTTTCATTACAAGAGGCATATGACCAACAACTCTTAAAAGTGAGATAGAAAACTTATCCAGACAAAATATGAAAGGTTTCCACTGTTCTCACTAAAAAGCAAGAAAAAAAGTAAGAAAAGATGGTTTTTAATGGGGGTCAAAAAAACTTTTTCTGTAAATAAAGTAAAGTGCTTTAGAATTTTGATAAGTATTTGTATGTATTTCCGTGAAAAAATGAGTGCATGAATGAAAAATTTTGTCAACGTTCAATTTTCTGCAATGTTGGCTTTTTTAAGAACGAATTTTTTCGTGGTAGTAAAGAAAATTTCTAAGTGCACACCACAGGGACTACCGTTGTGTGAAACTCACTAGCTTTTTTTTATTAGACTACTAATACCCACTAACCCTCCCTCCCCCATGCCTCGAGACTTTAGTTTTACCCTGGAACCACGTAAGTATTACTTCAGAGTAAAGCTACGAGGGGGATCATCGCATCTCACGGAATCAGCGACAGGCTCACCACTAGTTGCTAGAGGTACCAATCCTCACGAGTCCTAAAAAAAACTCGTGGTCTCGACGAACCAGCAGGTATAAATAGTGCTTTTTTGTAGGCTGCAATCTTTGCAAAGCGCTACTATATGTTTGATGCTTTCCCTAGCTGATAAGTAAATGTACACAGATCACGCTAGGTCTGCGTTAGACTTTACCCACCCTCAAAACCTTGTTACCGTTGGAGGCCTACTTGGCAATTTCTACGTTCTGCACAGCAGCTCTCTCCTTCTCTTTTTTTCGGGATAATGTTTTCGGAAGTGAATGCCACGCCAAGCCTTCCCACCAGCTGCTGGCCCTAAAAGTACCATCTTTCGCACACGAAAAACATGTGTTCAACAATATCATCTAACACTGGGCAGTAAGCGCATCCGGGCGATGATATTATCGCTACGCGATAAAGATAGGAATTTAACTGTCCATGCTCAGAGAGAAAATAAATGATGAATTTATCGACCTCTGCATGTCCTTTCTCTACCGATGGCCGTAGGCTTGGTATCAGCCGGTGCGTCGATCTTCCCACATCGGCCTGATTCGATTCCTGTTGCTTCATTAAACACTAAGGCCGATTGCCGAAAAACTGGTCAAAAGTTCGAAGTTGAAGTAACTCACTCCAAAATTAAAACACAGAGATTTTTCGGGTCACTGATTTGAAATTTTATGTCAAATGTGCGGAATTTTACCCTCTTCATCCCCTGTTGACCACCCTTGGAGGTGAAATATCATGTATTGTTTATCATAATGAAGTAACACATCGTTTTGTACGGTTTTAGGGTCACTGTTTACAAATTTTGTGTCAAATGTGCAGAATTTTACCCCCTTCATAACCTGTTGATCACCCCCGGGGGTGAAATGTCATGTATTATTTATGATAATCAAGTTCCATATCGTTTTGTATGGTTTTGGTGTCACTGATTACAAATTAGGTGTCAAATGTGCGGAATTTTACCCCCCTCAACCCCTGTTAACCACCCCCGGGGGTGAAATATCATGTATTATATATCATAATCGAGTTACATATCGTTTTTTATGGTTTTGGGGTCACTGATTACAAATTTCATGTCAAATGTACGGATATCGCCTTCTATCAAATAAAAAACGTTTGAACTGTGATCCAAAATTGTATATTGGTATTAAACACAGTGATAGTACAAAATTGTCTTCCTTAGCAAAAATTACTAATATTACAAGAAAAAGTATTCGTTGTCATCACAGTCGTAATCATCTACATCTGTACCTGACTCTGAGGCCGAGCTACTTTCAGCGGATTCTTGTTTATCTTTTTCGTGCCTATGTACAAATGGAGGCGATAGTAGGTTAATCGTTTTCTTAGATAAAGATTTAAGTAGCTTAACAGGAAAATTTCGGCATCTGGAAATGTATGGATCCAAAGCAATTAATTATCGTTTAAATACATTCTTCATTGTTTTTTGACGATAATTTTTTCTGGCATAATATAAGCAATACATTCTAAAAAATTTATTGCAAGCCACCTGAGCATCTTCACACATGTGACCGATAAGTAATACTGCATGATGTATTATTTGTGGACCATGAATTAAAAGCTTATGTACCAAAGTGGGCATGTAATACCAATTGTATGTTTCAAGGATTTTTCTGGCTAATTTCACGGCATACTTTCGAAAATTATCCACATCAATTTCAAAACCACTCAAAATAGCTTGTAATATGATATAAAATCGATGTATTATATCTTTATCAATGCCGATTATTTTTGCAGATATTAAATATTTTTCAAAAAAACATCGAGCAGTTTTGCCATTGTTCGAAGTTCCACTTCCGGGCTTCGGCTTGTCAACATTCAAGCCCAATTTAATTTTTTAAAGGGTTCTTGTATATTTTTTTTTTTTTTCGACTGATTTTTTTTCTTCTTTTGAGTGAGCCTGCCATTTCAAGATATCCAGTTTGTAAGACAAATGAAACAAAAACTTAAAACATCGAATTCAACAGTGCACGGAGGATAGGCCAAATTTCAAATTATCTGCAGAAATTTCCTTCTGTAGCATTGCATCTATGTCGTTGAAATCTTTTAATGTACAACCACATAGATAACAACGCATCACAGATTTTGTGTCGGACAATGAATTGCAAACTTATTATCAAGCATTGTCAACGTAAAACTATAAGTAACTACTTTCATAGCGTTAATAGAAGTTGTATATCTACTGAAATTCTGTATCTGTTGATTCACATTCTCCATAATTACTTTTGTTAAATGTACTGTTTCTGTGGCACATTCAATCTTTATAGGCCAACGAAACCTTGGAGATAATGGTCTTGGTTTTTTTCAAAGTACAGTAGTTCCTTTTGTCAAATAGTCAGTATGCACAAGTTGTAGTGAGACAAAAGACGTAAAAAATACACTGTCATCACTACTAATATTTGGGTCCAGCTTCTACTTTTATTCACTGTGCTTCGAACTACCATTACAGCCTCACTTGCCAATTAAAGTTTTGAGTTTTGTCTGTGACATGGTTTCAACAACTTCTATTTGACACAAAGGAATACGTTCAGTTCTATGGTCCAACAATGCTTGCAGTTCCACTACTGTCTCATTGGCGGTTACTGAAAGACCTAAATCTGGATAACAAAGTAATTTTGATTTTCACAAGTTCTTATATGATTGAATCATTCTTATTCTTGACTTTTTCTGCAAATGAGCATTACGCAGCTGCTGGTATTTACTTTGTGACAATACGAAATCTATAAATAATGATAATGATTCGTCATCGGAAAAACATACATTAATAGTTGTGGAGTCTACTGATCTTCTGTATTTCGTAGCTTTCGTAGGACTACCTTGTAAGATATCAGCCACCACTTTTGCAAAATCATTTTGTCCCTCAGACCGCAGTTTAGTTGTTACTGAGTAAAGGAGGATTTTAGTCGATACTGCTACTCATAAATCTGCTGTCTTTCTCCACTTACTTCGCTCACAAGACTCTGAAAAACTGCGTTGCGGCCGACCACAATCTTTTTTTTCAACTTCAGAAACCTTACTTTTGGTAGTTACAGCGCTTAATTCAACACACTTTCACGGCCAATCACCATTTTTTTCAAAAAACCAGTCCGTCACCTATTACTTGCGTTCCATCTTGTTCTCATTTTAAATATCAAGTCTGCTATTGTTGCTTTGTCTAAATCTGATAATACGACTTCAGAATCTTGGTTTTGGGACACAATTTCTACAACTCTTGCATTTATACAATCCAAATTATCTTATATAATATCTTTTGTAGATTAAAAAACTTTCAGTATCGTGAAGCCACCTTGAATCGAAGTAATGATACCTAAAAACAAAAAAGAAGTTTCGATGACTACAGAGATAACGTTAATAAAACAAATAATATTACTACGTACATTTGTATAATACAGCTAATATTAAGATATTACGTTTTGCTGTTCA